TACTGAGTAGTGTCGCGTTCCGTACCATGCCATATTTTTAAACTTCGACCAATATAGAACACTGGAAACATTTCTCAACGATGAGCTTTAATATGCATGAACGTCAAGACTAAAATACACAGGTTTGCTCATTTTCCTTCTTCTTCTAGTCTACTCTGAACACGTCCCATTCAGCTACCGTCCATATTCGCTTCATTTTGTTATCGATTTGATATATTTCGTAGCGGTCAATTCTTCTGGTCGCTTATTTCAAACAGTTGTTGAACTCGCTGCTATAAACTTTGTTTCTAAACAGGTTATCATTATGTTAATACCAAATTTTACAGAATAGCTTACCACGATTAGTACCTTGTTGACCTCACAAAACGCATATTCTGGAAAAAAGATGAAGAATTTATGAATGCAGTGGGCATCAATGGATTCACGGTGCTACCTGTGTTCTCACAACGAAAAGCGATTAGAAGCCTGAATACGCTACTCGTAAAATAGTTTTCTCAATCCCACAACCCAGTTCATGATGCACTGTTGAAATGATCCCAGTTTCTTCTCATCTTAAATATGGAAACAATCGCAAGCCTATACGCAAAACCAGCGATTCGGTCGCATATGAGCCTTGTGTTGATGTAGCAAAAAGTTGGCTGTTCCTTAGCTCACTGCCACTTTTGGCCCGTGTAGTGCTGTTCATGCCTATTGTGCTTGCTTTCGACACTAGACTCGACGTACGCAGGAATGACGATGGCTAGATCTTTAATAGTATATATACATATATACATATATATATGTATATGGTATTTAGTGAACTTGGTCTGGGAGGTTTAGTGTCCAGCCAATTTTTCACCTCTATTTCTGACGAGTATTGAGAAGTACGTTCCGGGTTTCCCGACCAAGCCTTGATTTTATCGAGCTAGATCTAGATGATTTCAGCGGCGACCACCCCCGCAATGTATTCTTCACCCGCCAAGGACTTTTCCTGGAGCTTTGGGTTAAAAAGCTATATAAGGACATCTATTCACGGTTTCCCTAATCTTTCCTCAGCATTGGTCATCTTCACACAAGAAAGACACTCTCAGTTGGTTTTCCATAAGTTACCTCATTGTCCGGTTCCTTTGATTTCTTTCTTTATTCATTCGATCTACTATTTATTTTGGCTTTACTGTGGTGGTCATGCGTGAATACAGTGGGAAAAGATACACAAACCGACAAATCCTTTAAATAAATGTGTTTGGATAGATATGATTTTTAAATGTGTTATGTAAGGTCGATTATTCCGACTTTGTGAAAAATATCGATGATATAACGTGATTTAAATATATTACGAAAACTGATGCCACCGAGTTATTTGATGCAGCACTTTGGATAATAACATGCTGGCAGCAGATTGTGACATCAACTTATTGGTCATCAATTTCCTAAGAAAAAAAGACCTTTATACACTTGGAAGGATTCAATGCAAGATTGTACTGTAAAGACCAGTTCGTGAGCACTGAGATTTCCTGCATCTGATTTGGTACACACAGAGAGTCGAGATTTCCGTGCTATACACAACATCATCGGTATTCGTATTGACTAACCAGTCATCAACCAGGAATGGAAGAAATACAACTTGTCAACAAGAAGAGGGAGAGAACAACCTTTATGAAAAACTCTTTTAGTGGAGGGTAAACGTGAAGAGTTGCGACTATTATGATCAGTCAAGTATAAACGATGCGTGAAATAATAAGGTATTCGATTAGTAAGCTGCGCATCAATACTGTTTTGACAGAGTTTGAAGAAGTATAGGCCTGTTGACACATATGAAGGCGTCACTGTAATCACACGACTAGTATCGAACAGCTTCAATTTTTTTGTCCAAGAAGGAAGAAAGAACATGACTCAGTCATCGTTGAGCAACGCGGCCCGGCTACAGCCTCATCCAATGTCCATGCTGCCAC